CAGAGAGAGAGAGAGAGAGAGAGAGAGAGGGAGGGAGGAGGGAGGGGGGAGGGAGGGAGGGAGAGGAGGAGAGAGAGAGAGAGAGAGAGAGAGAGAGAGAGAGAGAGAGAGAGAGAGAGATAGAGAGAGGAGAGAGAGAGAGAGAGAGATAGATAGATAGATAGAAGAGAGAGAGAGAGAGAGAGAGAGAGAGAGAGAGAGAGAGAGAGAGAGAGTGAATGAGTGAGTGTGAGAGAGTGAGGGGGAGAGAGAAGAGAGAGAGAGAGAGAGAGAGAGAGAAGAGAGAGAGAGAGAGAGAGAGAGTGAGTGAGTGAGAGTGAGAGAGAGAGAGAGAGAGAGAGAGAGAGAGAGAGAGAGAGAGAGAGAGAGAGAGAGAGAATAAAGAAAGAGAAGGGGGAGACAGACAAACAGACAGAGATCGATAAATAGACAGATAGAGAGAGAGATAAAGACAGACAAGCAGAAAGACAAATGCACAGAAAGTTCTCACGGTAACGACCACGAAACCCCTTTATTAACACCTCCTTCCCGCAGACTCCGGCCAACTACGAATTCCAGTATGCTGTACGAGACGGCAACGACTACGGCCACCAGGAGACGCGTGACGGAGACTACACCCAAGGCTCCTACACCGTGCAGCTCCCAGATGGTCGTATACAGAGGGTCACCTACACAGTGGACGGTGACTCTGGCTTCGTGGCTAAGGTCACCTACGAGGGCGAGGCACAGTACCCGGCGTATCCTTAGGAAGGCTTACTCAGTACTGAACCGTATTCATGTTGATAAGAGTAGACAGGTGTGAATGGGAATGAATATCTTCGCAATACAAGAGGTGTATTTGATCGGTTTCAAATATATCTTCGTTAGACAAGAGGTGTATTTGATCGGTTTCGGAATATATCTTCACAATACAAGAGGTGTATTTGACCGGTTTTGGAATATATCTTCGATAGGAATGCATATACGTATGTGCTTGCTTGTATTTCTGACGAAGATGTATGTTCGAAATCGGTCAAATACATCTCTTGTATTGTGAAGATATTTCATTCTCATTCATGCGTTTCTACTTAACTCAGTATTACTTTTGTTTATTGGCTGAAGTGCCTTTTGAATCATGTGTTATTGAAGCTGTTTAAGATGTTCCTTTATTCCCTCAGGTCACATGCTTGTTATTTTATGGTATTAAAGTGATATCATTGATACTTCTGTTGTTTATTTTCGCCCATTTAAACAGGATGCGGATTCGTCAACTGTTTTTCGTGTTTCGGAAACTATACTCGAATTTAATATATATATAAATCAAATACTTAGAAAAGAGAGAAAAGGGAAATTTCAGAAAATATGAGATTTCGTAGTTATCTTCGTGAATGCAGACTTCCATTATGTAAGAAATTTGTCTATGATTGCTATTGCTAATCATTGTGAATTTTCGGTTACCGTCACAAAGCCTACCAATCCTCTCTAAGTGCCCTCATTGGCCGAGTTTTGTACATTCTGGCACAAAACACACATGTAGATTAATGATTACGTGATTAGTTTGATGTGCATGTTACTATATATACGACTATATATATATATATATATATATATAATATATATATATATATATATTATAATATATATAATACTTTACATATATATGATATATATATATATATATTATATTATATAAATAATAATATATATATACTATACTATATATATATATATATATATATATATATATTGTTGTGTGTGTTGTGTGTGTGTGTGTGTGTGTGTGTGTGTGTGTGTGGTGTGTGTGTGTGTGTGCATATATATATAATTTATTATATGTATGTATGTATATTATGTGTATCGGGGGGATCTATGTCAATACATAATATCAGTATCGAACACAGACACATAAATGTGTGTTGTTGCATGTGTGCGTGTTTGTATGTGTGTGTGTGTGTGATGACATATAATATTGTACACATATATTAATTCATACACATAATCAAAGTATATCTATATCTATCTATCTATCTGTATATATATAACTAGTTTAATTCATTTATGTATTGGTTGCGTATGTAAACACATATGTGCAAACAAATGTTTGTTTGTGTAAATATGTATAAAACATATATTATATTTATTTATTCATAAAATATGTCACACAGACACACACACACACACACACACACACACATTTGTGGCACACTCACACACAGACTGTACAACACAACACACACACACTACCACACACACAGTGTCATCCACCACTACACACATATATTATATATATATATACTTCATTCATCTATACTACTATCTATATATATATTATATAATACGTATATATATATATATAATATATATATATAATAATCATAACAGCTTATATTTTGCATACACACCACGAACAACACCACATCGTATCACACAGACATGAACACACACACACACACACACACCCCACACCTCAGCACAGTCACACAATCACACCATCATATATATATATATATAATATATATTATATATATATATAATATACTTATATATATATATATAATATTATCTTACAAACATCTATACTATATGACACAGACACACACACATACCATCTTATATATATATATATACATATACTATATATATATATATATATAATAATACTATAATATATATATAATATTTACACATCTATCTATATGCACAACACACACCCATATATATATATATATATATAGTATATATATATATATATATATTATATATATATATATACATATATATATATATATCAATATAACCTAATATATATATTATATAGTATATATATATATATATATTGTATAATATACACATTATACTATAACACACACTACACACTCTCGACACTCACACACTGATTTCCGATATCTCACATTCTGCACACACACACAGCACATATCACTATATGATAATTATATAGTAGTATATATGAATATATATTAACTATATTAATATAGATACCTATATTTCTATGAATATATCGTGTGTTGTGTGTGGTGTGTGTGTGGTGTGTGTCGTGCTGTATACTATGTGTATACGTATACATTATGAATATATATATATATATATATATATATCATATATATATGTATATTATATAATTATATATAATATATATATATATATATATTATAATACTAATATAGTACTACTATATATATTGTAGTGCAGTTATGAAAGTATATGATTTGCATAAATATACAAACATATATAGTTCCATATATAAATATCTATTTATCTAAATATATGTTATATGCATATACATATATAAACAGCAACACAGCCACCGTCCGTGTGTTAATGCACACCATATACGTATTATTACGTGTGTGAGTGGAAAACAGACTTCAATACAAGTTAACGCAAATTAAATCGTGGTATTTCGAACTCTTCAAAAACTATCATCAGACGGAGAAATATATTTCTCATTTACCGGACTGTTTCGAGTCCATTGGTGCACGTTGCTTTTCTGCGGTTTAATAATGATAGTATATATAATATTTTCAGAAGAGTATATAACGGCTTAATATAATATTAAATTTAATATATACTATATAATATATATGATAATATATATATATATATATATTAATTATATATATGTATACGGATAAATACGTACATATTATGCTTATAAATAACAACAAATAAATAATAAACAAATAAGACACACAACACACATATATGTTGTGTTGGGTGTGTGTGTGTGTGTGTGTGAATATATATATAGTATATATATATATATATATATTATATATATATATAATATAATATATTACAATATATATATATATATCATATATATATATATATATATGATATAATAAGATATATAATATAAGTACATATGTATGTATATATATATATAATATAATATATATAATTATATATATATTATATTAGTATATGTATATGAATATAGCATATGATATATATATAATATATTATATATAATTATATTATATATATATAATATATAATATATATTATCTATATATGACTGTATACTATAGTTTATGTATATAATTATATTAATCTATATAATATTAGTAATATTAGTAATATATTATATATATATATATATATAATATATATATATATATATAATTAATATACTATATATATATACTGTGTTATATATCGCATATCATATATTATCTTTCTATCTCTATCTATCTATCTATCTATCTATCTATCTATATATATATAGTAATATATATTATAATAGTATATATATATACTATATATAGTATACATATATGTGTGTGTAGATAGTGCATATGTAGATGCGTGCATGTCTCTCCTGTCCGCCTTCCCTCCCCCCCCCCCTCAGCCTGTCCCAGTAGCAAAGCGGCGCCAACAGCTGAGAACCTCCCTCCTTTCCGGTCGTTACAAGCGGACCCAGCGGCTTCCCCCGTCACGACCTGACCCCGGGACCGCTTCCGTAAAATGATTGAGCATCATCCCGTGTAACTGATACCCTTATCTCGTTCCCTGATACTGATATAAGGGCGAGCGAGGTGCCTCCAGTGAAGAAAAAAGAGACTTTCTGATTGTTTTCAAGAGAGTGTTTCCTAATTGGTCCGAGGCGAGTCAGTGAACCTTCCGATGCACGAGTGACCTCTGACCTATCATATCTCGGCGATTTAAAGCAGGTTGTGTCCGGGAGGAAAGTAGGTGACCTCCATTTCAGTGTTGTATGTAATGTTTAATGAGTGATTTAATCATGGTTAGATTGATAGTATCATCTGTATCGTGGAGGTCAACTTCGAAATTATACTTTATTTGAGATATGTTTCATGATTTGGAAAGCGAACGAAAATCAGTATAACGAAAGAAATGTAATATATATTAATATAATCAATACTGTAACAAGAGAAAGTGAAATAAAAGTGAAATAAAAGCAGACAGAGAGGAAGAGAGAGAAGATAAGAAACGGAAAGAAAATGGATAACAGAACAGATAATGAATGCAAATATATATGTATATGTATCATCTATCCATCCAGCTACAAACACACACACACACACACACACACACACACACACACACACACACACACACACCACACACATACACACATACGTATATACACATATATATATATATATATATATTATTATATATATATATATATATATATATATATATATTTACACACACACACATATATATCAGATAATGAATCTTACAGAACAGCCTCCGCATGCTAGTGGCACAACATTTTCTCAAGGGTTAATGCGGGAGGTTGGTCATTACTTTCGCTGGCCCGACTTTGACCCCAGCATGAAGTCAGTGCTCATTAAAAAATAAGTTGGAAGTGTGAGGAGGTGATATATATATATAATATATATATATATATATATATATATGTATATATATGTATATATATATATATATATATATATATATATATATATATATATATATATATATATATATATATATATATATATATATATATATATAAACGTGTATAAACGTACACACCACACACACACACACACACACCACACACACACACACACACACACACACACACACACACACACACACACACCACACACACACACACACACACATATATATATATATATACATATATATATATATATGTATACATATATACATACTATATATAATAATATAATAATAATACATATATATAATATATATATATATATATATATATATATATATATATATATATATATATATATATATATATATATATATATATATAGTATATATATATATATATATATATATATATATATATATAATATATATATATATATATATATATATATGATATATGTGTTTATATATACAAACTAA